AACTCCTTAGATGCATAACTACTTGGAAATCATAATTCTTTTCTCCTTTCATTTCTTAACTCGCTAAAAATTTTTTGCTTTCTTCAAACTTTTATGATCATTTCGTGTTTCTTCAAATAAAGGGGCAAAATTAAATGATGGAATGAATATATATTAAACTGCAGTATGATAACCAAAATCACGCTGCTAAAAATTCTCAATGAAATTCAATTATCAGCGCAAAATAGGCTATTAATGTCGAAACGGATTTTGCGTTGAATCGCTATAAATGTTACATTACTTTTCAAATTATTGCCACCAAATATTATCGCCCTGCATTATTTTTTAAGAAATTAAATAATGAAGAATCTGCATGAATGTATGCATATTTCTCCTATAGTGAAAATCGAAGGCCCCTAGAGCCATCAGAATCTGAATAACGTAGTCCTCCTCCCGAACATGTGCACCTAAAAGTCCGAATTTTAAATTTCGTATTCACTTTATTTCATATTTTGTAAAACTTAATTGAGTTTTTGATTAATAAACTCAAGGATTTGAAAGCGAGCAGTGGCAACACTGTGAGAATTAAAACATTGTTAGTATCTCCAGCGCGAGAGACTGTGTATCGAAAATTCTAATAACAAAACAAAACAGGAACAAAAGTATTTTTGATGCGTAATATGTTACTTACATCATTGATGACAGATAAATTTCAGCTCTACAAATGAACAGCTTAAAAAGGTGTTTAAGATATTAGTCCTTTCACATGACGGGTTCTAGCCGTTTATAAGCAATGGCCAATACTAAGGCCAGAAGTGGGGGGTCTCTTTATTCTGGAGGCTTGTAATAAGTGGCACACCTATTGCCGCCTATGAAAGGACTGACAAATTATATCCCTGCCTTCTCAGGGATTCGAACCCAGGCCATTCGGTACAGCAGTCCAGAGTCATTAACTACCTTCCCGTCTAGGTGGCGTCTCTTGATACGTATTAAGACCAAATTTTGGACGACATGCATTAGATAAAAGCTGCTTTTTATAGCATAAAGATCAGTTTTAACCAAATGGCTGAAAATTATATTTCTGCAGTTAAAATTTACAAGAAAAAAAGCTGAAACAGGGCTTAATGTCGGAAATTTTAAGGTCAAAGGAATCAAATTTATAAACTGTTACAAAACGAAATTTAAATTGAGAATCAGCACATTAAGTATTTTTTTAATTTATACTTCTCATTCAAAATTGAGTTTACGGTGAGAGCTAAAACGGGTTGTCGAAACGGGATGCGAAGGAGGCGGTTAAAACGTCACCGGCATTTGGCGGCAAGCCTGATTTACTCGGACTCATACACAGCGAGTGGGTGTAGAAGGATTATGCCAAAAATGCAGGTAACGTAATTGAATATAAACCGCCGTCTGTTTGAATTCAAAAACGAATTTGAACCAAACTTTTTAAGATGACTAAGTATTTTGGTTAAAAATACTTTTCGCATGTAGAAAAAAAGTATTAGTCGCGGTGAATAAATAATTTGATATCAGCACAAAATGTAAATAAAATAAAAATAAGTGATTTCACAAGACAGTAAAAAAATTTATACGAAGAATTAAATGTAAAGTTTTACAAATAAGTTAGTTTCACTAATTAATGCTATTAAACTCTCATTTGGAGTCGGTAATGAAAGGTCTAGGTTTATTCAATTACGGCAAAGCACTCGAGGGCTATCTGTCTAAGGGGAGGGATGCCTTTGTGAAGGAATTTCAAAGGAAAACGTGGGTGTTTTTGTGGTTTTCCCCATAACTACAAAAACGCCCACGCAGCCATCCCGTTCCCTGAAATTTAAACCTCGCACCGAAATACCAGTGTTTAGTGACTTTACCGCTCGGCCGTGATGGACCTGAGAGGAAGGAATGAAAAAGATGAAAGTAAATCGTTTCTTTCAGCTGTAACAAGTGAATTACTACACCTGGAGTAATATCAAAAGCAGCATCAGGTAACCCTTTTTATCCACTAAACCTTTAGCGTAATAGAAAAGGAAGAAAAAATGTTGAATGAATAGTTTATTTACAATCGTAAGTTTCATTTACCATTAACAAAAAATAATAATAAAATTTGCGATAAGGAACTGCAATCTGCTGCAAATTTCAGTGCAAGAAGGGTATAAATTAATCTAACACCATAGGTTTGCATCTACCTAATTATTTTAAGATAAGAATTTAATTTTATAACTTTAATTTCTGATTAATTAGTTAAGACGAATAAAAACAATCTGATTTAAAAATGTATGTGTAGAACAACCACTCTTACCAAGCAACAGATATGTCATCTTGTTGGAATATTTTTGAAAAAATCCAAAGATCGATTTTTAAAGTTTCTGAGTAATTAATTTAAGCATATTTTAAACTAAAATTAAGCGGAGAACACTCTGCGCTTTTCTTTATATAATAAGAGAGTGATAACACTTTTTCGGGGGGGGGAAGGAGGGATGTTGATAAAAATTATTGCTTGTAAATTATTTCGGAAAAGTAATTGTAGAATACTGAAAAGGTCAGGTCTCTGTTATTAAAGTTTAGAATTCGTCCATGCTTTCATTTAATATAAAAATACTTGAAGCAAGTTTACTAAAAAGTAATATGTTAAACATAAACATGACGAGGACCAGCTCCAAGTGACATAGCCATTCGCCTTGGGAGTCGATTTTCGAATGGTGGATGCTGATAACAGACAACTAAAGAAAGGCATATTTCGCTTCGAATTATCAATCTCTTCAATCTCTACAGAGCACCAACAACAATCCCCTAAGGAGCCGAAAACGTTAGAGCTGGACCTAAATATGATGCACACTATAAAAGGCCCTCATTTTCCTTTTTGTCCTTCCCCCCCCCTTTGTCTTTAATATGTTCCTAAAATATCACAATCTAATCTTAAGAAATAGCAGTTTTAGAATGCCTTTTTATTGGTATTAATCAGCTAAAAAAAATCTTTTTCAACTAATTGTTTAAGATTGCATAATTGTTCCTCTCTACATTTCAGAAATGCAAATCCTGCTTCATAAATATAACTTACTGCCATTTATTTTCCTTCAAAATCGATTATGTACTCATGAAGGATTTAAATAAATGGAATTTAGTTTATACAGATGGCAACATTCCGAGTAAAAAGAGTTATACACTGACAATGTTATCTTAGGAGAAGCAAATGTAAAAATGCAAATCCGCCATTCTAATCATTCGTGGTGCTGGGTAATTAATTGATTATTTTAGAAAAACAGATTAAAAATATATTAATGATTTATACTTGGCATCAAATAATTGATCAAAACTGTAACGTTTTCAGCATTTTATATGGAAACGTGTAATGTTTTACAATAACAGTGCATATGAAGAACGTTATATGAAGGAAGTGAAATAGGAAAATTTTGATCTTTTATTTCTATATACGAATCACAAGTCCTGATTCAGGAAAAAAATTCTGAATATTGAATGAAACTTAATTAGTATTAAAAAAGGAGAAAATTTAAAGAAAACAATAGTTAAATAAACAGAAGAATAAAAAAATGCACCCTTTATTTTCGATACCTTTTACAAATGATAAATCATTAACACAAATATTCATTTTCAAAGCATAATATAGAATAATTAACCCTACAAGCCCCAAGATTAAAAATAAACTGTGAAATATCCTAATACAATCATGTTAAATATATTTCCATATTTATAAATATTACGTAATAGTAAAATATTACGAGTAATATTTATACTCCTGATAGCAAAGCTTTAATTAATCGAAATGGATACTTGTTTATAACTTTCGTAATCACAATAAATTTTACATCTCAAGGTAAAAGTTTTACTAAGTTAATAAGTCCTCTTTGAGTTTTTATTTTAATTGCAAATACTAAGGTTCGGTTTGGTTTGGTTTATTTAATTACGGCAAAACACACTAGAGCTATCTGCCTAAGTGGAGGGATGCTTTCGTGGAGGACTTTCTAAGGAAAACTGGCTCGTATACACTTTACGCATGGGGAAAACCACGGAAACGCCCATGCAGCCAGCCCGTTCGCGGGATTCGAACCTCGGACCTAACTGCCAGTGTTCAGAGATTTTAACCGCTCGCCCGCTGGTGGGCCCGCAAATACTAAGGAAGAGAATCGTCGTAATTAACAAAGTTTTATCCTCTTCATCAAGTGAAAGGCTATACAAAAGCAACGCTTGCTGCCTATCTATGAAAACGAATGATTTATAGTAAATTATTTCTTATTCATATTACATATTTCACAACTTAAAAATTTTCAACATTTTGTACAAGTTTCAAATTTTAAATCAAATCATGTATTATGAACGATTATCAAATCTGAAATCAAATTACCAAATCTGAAATGAGATTACCAAATCTGAAATACAGCTTTCAGCTATATATTTATTTTTCCGTTTCATTATTATTATTTTTTTTATTTTATTTTATTTTATTTTGAGAGAAAATTTGGATATTTATACAGTATGACAATTACGACTTATATTGTTGTATTAATATTTTAAGATTTATATAAGAAAATATACGATAAATAATAAATAACACAATTATAAAAGGAAAAACTGTAAAGTAGATATGTGCTGTTGACAACGTGGGCATGTGCAGTTTTAGCAACTTAAAATCTTCATTCGAATAAGAAATCCATATTTCTCATTCGAAACGCTTTTCGTAAACATATTTTTATTGAAGTTCTTCCACTTCTAAACTTTAAAACAGTCTTAGAAAATAAATGTTACAGTATCACAACACAGCTGTATGAAATAAAAGTCTTAAGCTTAAGTAAAGTATTACGAGTAAAATTTCAAAAACATATAGAATTGTTTGAAAAGATTCATTTGATGAAATGCCTTAAACTATTGTTGATGAAAGTTTATTATACTTTTTCTACTTCTGAAGACCGTGATAACATGTTACGATTTTTTAGCACTAATAAAACCAATCTAAAACGCTTTACTAGCGCCGGCATTCATAGGACATAATTGTAAAACCTACTTACACTCATGCCGTATGCAGACATAGCGAGATTATTTGTAATCGTACTGAAGACCAGCGTATTTCGTAGTGCAAACCATCTCTTGCGACTGCTAGAAAGTGAACCAGGTGGTATTTTGGTGTACAGATCCTGTCTTCTTCCTTCTGACTTTTCTGGCAGCTATTGTGGTTGTTATAAATAGCACCTCTCCCCTCGTCAACCAGCTCTCAGAGTTTGCGGTGGAAATTAGAGTCAAAAGTGAAATTGCTGGTGGTTTGGTAAACTGCACCTTGCTGTTCAAGCGAGAGAGATCCTTTTAGACCTGTTCCGCCCGAAGTTTGCGTAACTCGCAGTAAAAAGGGCACTGTGTATCTGTTTTATATTTTTCTAATTTTCTAAAATGATTCGCAAATAGTGATGCATTGAGAGGATGAAAGTGTCTTTTCGTTTAACACAACTATAGTGAATTTCTTGAAATCTTGGTATGGTATATTTAATTATGGCAAAGCACACGAGGGCTATCTGCCTAAAGGGAGGGATGCCTTTCGTGGAGGACTTTCTAAGGGAAACTGGCTCGTATACACGTTACACATGGGGAAAACCACGAAAACGCCCATGCAGCCAGCCCGTTCGCGGGATTCGAACCTCAGACCGAACTACTAGTGTTCAGCGTCTTTACCGCTCGGCCGCTGGTGGGCTTCTTGAAATCTTGAGCGTCGATAAAGCGTTTACCTTTCAACGCATAAACCTGATTACGATTCCATCTTTCTCACGCTGTTATAGGTGACTGCAACATTTTATTAGGCCCACCAGCAGCCGAGCGCCAAGTAGCTAAGCACTGGTACAGTAAGACCCCGCTTAACGCGGGGGATACGTTCCATCAAAGTAGAGCGTAATGCGAAACAGCGCTAAACGAGGCTATCTTTACATGTAAATATTGGGGTTAGGGGAAGATGGCTAGGAAATTGGTTAGGTATTAAATTTAAAAAGTATGTTTTTTAATAAAAATAAAACCAAACATTTATTTCTTAAAGCCCAAATTAATACCACATTATTATTTCTTGCAAAAATAAAAAACAAAATATAAATAACAAAACGAATATTCTTAAAAAAACAAAAAAATCTAAGTCAGTCATATTTAGTCAGCCTTCCGCGTTTTCAGTGTTCTGCCTTTTTGTGACAAAAGCATCTAATGTTGTTTGCCTTTTTCTTTTGCGTTGTTCTCTTAAAAGTTCTCATAAACGGATAGAGCATCTAACACCACGCCTTACTTTTGAGCTCCTGTCAAAATTCGGATCATTTTCAATGATTGATCCATTATTTCAGTTGTGGTAGACAAACTCCTTTTTACAAACGCCATCGAAAGTTCTTTTTGCTCTTCTTCTGAATCACTGCTGTCAACATTTTTGTTTTCTTTTGTTTCGGTTAATTCCTTGGCTCATCATTAAAGATAGCCGCTGCTTCTTGAATATTTCTTCGACATCTTCCACATTTTCTCCTTCAAAATATGTCTGTACAATACCGACCAAACAAAAAATACAAGTACACTCTTTCGGATATGTATTTGAAACCTATCGCTGCATAATATTTCGGGGAATCCCCGTATGCTGCGAGCGATTTCGTGGAATCCCCGGGTTGAAATAAAAGAGCGCTAAACCGAAACAGCGCTAAACGAAACAGCGTTAAGCGGGGTCTTACTGTAGTTTGTTCGGAGGTTCGAATCGTCCGAACAGCTACTTGCATGAGCCTTTTCGTGTTTCCCCCGTGTGTAACGTGTATTCGAATCAGTTTCCATTAAAAAGTCCTCCAAAAAAGCATCCCTCCCTTTAAACAGGCTGCTTTGCGTAATCAAATAGGCTCTAGTGTAGAATTGGATACCCCTTCGATTAGCGACAATTTTTTGTAAAATTTTGGCGATGAAATCTTATTTCTGGTTACCATGATAGTGTAACTTTGCTTCAGCTCATGATTTTTTTAAAAATAAAAATAGATTGATGTGTACATGGAAAAATTTAAACAGTGTGCAATGCCTAGTTTGTGCAATTCTGGAATGTTTTTTTAAGTGAAAACAGATCGATGTGTACATGGACACAGAGTTTACGCAATTCTTTGACTTTATTTTGGTTTTGTGTAGCGGCCATCTTGAAATTGTCTCCTCCTGGCGCCGATCTTGGCGTCAAAAAAGAATCGCCAAAAAACAAGGGGCACCCAATTGTAAACTTTTACCATCAAATAAACCAAACCAAGCACCATTTTAACACGTTCGCTGCCAGACCATTTTTTTGAAGACTTCCAGTTCAGGCCTTACAATAATTAAAATAGCTCAAAAATCAGAATTATCAAGGAAAGGTTGTATAGTTTAACATGCATAACACAACAAACCAAAAAATTTATTTTTCTAGGAATTAGTTTAACAAATACCTGGCTGAACGTTACTGTGCCAGGCAAATTGCATCCTCACGTATAATTTTTTTTATCGTACGTATATCAGTTTTAAATATAACATTTTAATTAAATTCAAGTTTGTATGCAATTACAAAGGGATGTTACGATGAACTTTAATTAAAACATGGCAAACATAAGTGTGGTTTATCCACACAACTATTGCAGAATGTTGCAACTTTACAGTAACAGTTTCTTGCCAATGGGAAACCCAAATTTTGAACATTTCTTTCTTAACAACATTTTACAGCATCGTCTTATCGAATTAAAGTGGCCTTCGTCGTCGTCAGAATCATCACTAGAAAAACTGTTGCTGTGTGATGCTATATCTGCTTATTAGTAATTATTGTAAAATTTGGAAAAGGTCTGAAGAAGAAAAGGCGGAAAAAATTGCAACCACTTTTAAATGCAAAATATCCGAATTTATGACACTAAAATAATATGTACGTACCGTATTTCCTTCGTCTAACACGCCCACCAGCGGCCGAGCGGTAAAGTCGCTGAACACTGGTAGTTCGGTCCGAGGTTCGAATCCCGCGAACGGGCTGGCTGCATGGGTGTTTTCGTGGTTTTCCCCATGTGTAACGTGTATACGAGCCAGTTTCCCTTAAAAAACCCTCTACGAAGGCATCCCTCCCTTTAGGCAGATAGCCCTAGTGTGCTTTGCCATAATTAAATACACCACCTTCGTCTAACACACTGAAGGAACACACTGAATTATACATCAATCCCAGCTTCAGTGGTAGTGTAATTCAGTAAGTAGTGTATCAACGCCACGCGAATAAATGACTGATCGAAATACGAGGAATGCAGTTGAAACAAGTTACGGAGAAAAAAAAATTGCCCATACGCCCCACGATTAAATGAGGGCATCAACAGTAGTATTAAGATGCCCATAATTGACTGCATAATAAATTTTTAAAAAATTCTTCATTTTACAATGATAATACCAAATGGCTTGAACGGAAAGTTTAGCGTGGGGCGCATACGCCCCACGCGGCAGGGAACGTGTTAATATTGACTTCACAAATTTTTTCAGATTCGGAAGAGATGGGCGACGACTGCATTTCTTTTGGTGAACACTTCCAATTTATAGAAATCAAATTACAAAGCAGAAAATTATTGTCTTGTTAGATTCACAAATATTTAGGAAAGTCTCTTTAAACGTTTCATCAAGTCTTCCGTAAGAGTGCGAAGTAATGTTCAGTTACAGAATTTCTTTCTGCTTTAGGAAAACTCCTCCCGGTTCCGCATAGTACAAAGGTATTCAATGAAACATTTTCTCGTTAATATTCAATTTTTAATTTTCACAAAATTTGATAGTTTGATATATACGACTTTTGGATCATCCTGCACTTTGTCAGGTATGGGTACAAACATATTATACGGGCTAAGTTTCAGCATTCTGTTTTGTAACAAAATCCGAATCAGTTGACCACGACAAAGTTTCTTGCGAAAACAAATCCGATAGTAATTTAAAACTGGTGTAGTAAACTGTTTCCAATGCCATAAGTCTGAATATCATTTTTAACCGCTGAAAGAAATCTGAATAAAACTAATAAAAGATCATCTTCCCATCTGCCATACTCATACTTAGGCGAGCTTCTGATATGCTTACAAAAACGGTCAATTAATTATTCTGTTAAAACAAGGATAATAAGCTATAATTCTAATACAATCTGTTTTAATCAGCTTTGTAAATTGTTGAAATAATTTCGATTTCAGATGAAAGCTTTCATCTGTTTTTGTAATTATAGAAAAATTTATTCTTAAAATCCATCTCTCCAGTAAGGCCTTGCATACTGTCACTGCATTTATATTTGGTGCTGATGTTACGGTGAAACACCGAAATCTGGAGAATGTCGACTTTCACCGGTGAATGTCAACCTTCACATAGTCGCTTGGTGTATGTCCGAAATATTTTCCAAATACTCTTATTTCTGACTTACACCGATCAATGTCGACATATAAGAATATTATATTTTCTTCTCCGTAATTCAGTAGCGAAAAAACGCACTTGAGACTTGAACTTAAGAATATAAGAACTTAAAACACAAAGTACATTCAAAATGAGAAAGAAAAATAATAGAAGTTAAAAACTTACTTAATTATACACTACGTTCTAAATGAGAAAATAAAATAATAGTAAGGTACTTACGTATTAACGCAACCACGCCAAGATTCGCATAAATCGCCAAATTTGGCGACCCTACTTACGGCAACCCTACGTGTGTGAAAATACGAAAGTTTATTTGTAAAAAGAAAAAATAACACTGGGCGTATACTACCACAGCAATGGGTTTTCGGCGGAATATGCCGAGAAAAGAAAGAGACTTTTTTTGGTTACTGTACCTAACAGAAGCGCCGTTACCCTCATGGAAAAAATTTGCGAAAATATCAAGGAAGGAAGCATCATTTATTCGGATTGCTGGAAAGGATACAATACAAGTGAGTTCGAAAATGCTGGATTTCTGCATGGAACTGTTAATCACAAATATAACTTTGTGGATCCCAACACGGGCGTTCACACACAACATGTAGAGCGCATGTGGGGCTCAGCCAAATGGCGCAACAAAAAACAGAGAGGAACAGCCCGTCATCATCTTGACTCATACCTTATCGAATTTATATGGCGCCAAGCTCAAGCTGTTAATGGCGAAGACGGTTTTCAATCAGTGCTAAAAGCAATAGCCAAAAGATTTCCGCCAAAAAAATAATTCTGCAAC